CCCTCGCTGCTTCTGTTGCTGCTGCTGCTGCGGCTGCTGCTGCTGCTCCTGCGCCTGCTCCTGCGCCTGCTCCTCGTCCTCCTGCACAGGCCTGGAGGCGCAATTAGTTTAAATGCCATCCCATATAGGTCTACGACAGTCTTTCACAACACCTTACTCTTCTTCTGTGGTATCCTGATCCACTTGAGGAAACAAAGGAGACTTGTTTTCTTCATGTCCAGGAGTCCAAAATAACTTGGGCATGGAATGTATTTTCCCAAAATTCCACATTCCCATCGCGGCAACCGACTTCATGGCTTTTGATATGTCTAATAAAGGAGGACTAAAAGACAGTTGATTAGGATTAAAAGCTTTTTTCCCCCACAACAGTACAGTATATGAAATTGTTCATGTACATAGCTGGCAAATGGATCATATTCCCGTGCTTTATTTCCTAGCCTGGGAGGCAACACTTCATCACCAAATTACTTTGTGTACTTGTCAATTAGTGTAGCGTTTGGCTTTAGCCACATGTACTTCAAGGGTGGGAGGGAAAACAAAACAAAACAGCATTTCGTAATTTACAAGTGCACAAAAATGGTTAAAAAAATGCATTATGCAAATATTCCACTCGAGGGCAATTTACACCATGTAGTGGTATCCGTGAAACAGATGTTTTGTTTTTACATTATTTGTTTAAAAAAAAGCTTTACAGTTGAGCTGCGACGAAGTAGCATCAATTTGTGACAGCAGGGCTAATATGTGAAAGACAAACAAACAAAAAACTTGTACGTAGAGACAAAACTTTCTCGAGGAGTTTTCACTTTATCCTCTGTCAAAACGCAAATTTGTTACGGAACAGTGGGGTGGAGATTCTGAACGGCTCGCTCACCGCAGCTCAAACTATTGCCTTGACTTGCGATTGTTACTTTAATAGGTCAATTTTTTATTTCACCTGATTGGAGTGGAAGAAAGCACGAGGTTCACATGTGTATCTGATCAGGGTTTGCAAGTTAAGGCAACCCCACCCCAACACCACTTAAGGTCTTACCTGTGATTCTGGCTTGGTTCCATCGGGCCACTTAAAGATTCTTCCGGGTTCAAGACCAGCATATCAGGCTGATCCGTTGTCGTGGTCATAGTAAGAAACTGGGACTTGAGGTTATTCCCTTCACTTGCCCAAGGTCCTTCAAAGTAGGCAAGCAGTTGAGCGAAGACGTCTTCACCTATGCCGCAGCTACTGCTGGCTTGGTCGGTGCTGTCCAGGTCAGCCATTTTGCCTTCAGAGCGACCGCAGTCCCTCTGATTAAATGGCATGTCAATCAAAAACCGCACAGCACGTGCGATAAATTTTTAAAGTTATCCAATCGACCTACATTTGGGATTGTACTTGTTTCATGCTTTTTAATTCTTAAAAAGGCTACACACATACACGCAGAGTATACAAATACTAATCTCGGTTTTATTTGTCATTCAAAATCGCATACAAGATAAAAGTAAATAAAGCAAAAACATTGTATGCCAGATGACTCTGATGACGCCATGTGATACAAGTTGAGTCGTAAATTTTATTCCATGTTCTCAGACAGAAAAGAAAAAAGAATGCACATAAAAATATGTGCACCCGTTGACATACAAAATAAATGGACAACATACATTTTTTAAAAGCCATAAAATTGGATATTTGCGTCCAATGTTATTTGTGCACTAATTTTTGGTAGATTTGTAAACTTGTTTAATCATCTGTATTGTGGCAACTTTTTGAGAGAATTTACGGATACTCTTACAACGGTTACACTTGGTACACAAACATTTAAGAAACTAAGAAAAGGCAATTTTGATGCCAAAAAAATAAATACATCAATCAATAAATTGTAGTAATCACCTTAAGCAAGATAAACACTGTCTTAAATTGAGTATTGTCCAATCAAGATCAGACTGCTTATATATCTGAAAGATAATGTGGGGTGTTGTTAAAAGTGATTTTTCCTGCTCATTCTTCTCAAAAATGGTCAGGGCTGACAATCAGAGTGAGGTACACACTGAACAATAATCGGGCCAAAGTGGAGCATTGTCTATCCCCTTGCGATCAAATTCTGCAAAGATCTGATTTTCTGATGGCTCGAAAAGATTATCCTATCATCCAGTGGCATGGTGTGCATTAGGAGTGATTTTTCCTCCCCGATAAACTCGTAAAACAGTCAGGGAAGACGTTTATAAAGCGGGGCACAAACCTCCCAATGAGCAGGAAAAATGTATTTTCTCTCCCTTGCAATCAAAGTCAGCAGTGGCTCGATAATGGGATGACTTTAAAATATCTCATGGTGCAAGATGTTTTGAATTATTTGTCCTTCCCAGCATGCTTGGAAAACTCTCAATTACCGACAATCATAAGTGTTTAAACCTGTTCAATATTTTACTATCGCAGTGGTATATCTAGCCTGAGTCATGGACTCTAAGATTGTGACAAGTGATGGTCAATCTGGAAAGTCACTTTCTTCTTCTATTTCTACTACTAATCTTTATTGTTTGTATTCTCCGGCAGTTTGGATGTCCGACGGCACCATGCTGCCTCTAACTGGGCGGCCTTGAGACTAAAGACAGAGTGGAAGAGACTCACGATTGTCTGTGGTGTGCCATGTTGGGCATCTGGAGCCGTAATCACACACTTGTCAATTTTTTCCCCTGTCATGTAGGGTCTCTTACAATTAATTGAAAAAAAAAGTGTGTACCCTGCTTCAGGATAACAAAGGGCAGACTGTATCTTTTTTTGGTTCAACAATAAATGATATAGGGGTCAAGGTTGGATGTCGAAAGAAAACAAAATCAATTTATAATAGAAAAAAACCCTTAAAATCATTGAGTTGGATGCTCGCCGGAGATGTCGGCATGCAAATACCAACCACAAATATCCGCTATGTCAAGAAAAAGGATAATCAGTACAGTGTGACAGCATATCCCTGTTAAGACACGTTCCCTTCAAAGAGGGGCACGAGACATCTGGATCAAAAACCGAGAGCATAAAAGGAGACAAGACGTTGGTGGGGGGCAGGCTCGGAGTCTTAGGTGGGCACAGTGATGCTGCGGGCCAGGAGCACCAGCAGAGCCAGCTCCACGACCCCGTGTGCCTGCTCTAGAGCCTCTGTAGCATCGCGAGCAGAAAAACCTGCAGCCTGGATTCTCTGAATGTGTTCGGCTGGGAATTGTTCTGTAAAGGTTCCGGGCAGGAGGGAGGCGGATGTGCCAGAGGCAATACTGTCCGGGGTGTTTGTGTCCGAGACTCGTCCATGCACATCCCCGCTCTCCTGCTGCCCTTCTGGGGGTTCCCTGAAGCCCCCGTCACACTTTGGAGGACTTGCCGACTCAGGATTATAAATGCTGGGGCCTCTGGCTTCGGCTGGAGGCTTCGGAGGATTTGCCGACTCTGGATTATAAATGCTGGGGTCTCTGGCTTCAGCAGGGGACTCTGGAGGACTCACTGACTTGGGATGATAAATGTTGGAGTCTCTGGCTTTGGATGAAGACTCCAGAGCTCCCTCCGAAAAGTCTGCCCCTTCTCTCTCTGGGGGGGCCTCGCAAGCAACAGCTGGTTTGGCTTTGGCATTGCTTGGTTCTGGTCTAATTAGTGTTGGATCCTCCTCTTCGGAATGCGTTGAGGGGCGGGGGGCGCCACACTTGTTGGAGAGCAGCAGTTCATGGAGCTCCAAGAGAGCAGCGGCCAGAGACGGAATGCCTTCAGAGCCCTCAGGCTGATCCCTGCATGAGGAGTCCATTTCGAAGGAGTCCGGCTGGCAGGGATTCATCATTTCGGACCCAGCTGCCTCATGCTCCATGGGCTGACTGTGTGCTACTTCTGGATAGGGGAGGTTTGAACTGTTCTCCACCTTGGATGGTTCCGTAGTCTCCTTCTCACCAGCCTCTGGACCCTGGAGGTCTTCAGCTGACTGACCGGGTGCCAGGGCTTCTCCTACAGAGACAGTATGATCTTCCAGAGGGGGATGCTTGAGCTGATCCTGCTCTGTAGGCAGATGAGGCTCCTGGAGGCCAAGTTGGTCCGGCCCGGAGGCCTGCTCCACAGGGACCTGGGTGGACTCTGAGCAAACCGTGTCAGGGTTCTGGGGATGGGCGCTTGAGGACATTTGGTCTGAGGCTGTGGGTAGTGACAATGTCGGCGGCTGCGGTGAGGTAGTCTGTCCGTCTGCAGTGTTTTGTTTTTTTTTTTGGGAGAGATTACAGATGACACAACCAAATGTGAGAAGGTGGAGCCTCGTTGAAAGCTATCAAGAAGTCACAACGCATCTCTTTTTCCGTAGTTTACGTTACATCCTTATTCCAATGGACCCCCCCCCATTCAAAATACTACACACAACACCCCCTAAATACAACATGTTTTTGGAGATTTACTTCGGAAATGTATTACCGGTAATTGTGGGGACATACGGACATACTGTACACACACACAGAGAGAGCAGGAGCGTTAAGAGAAGAACAAAAGGCAGCATGGCGTAGACGGGCGTCCCCATATTTTGTCCATAATCAAACGTGATAGGTTCCAGCTCAACCTTGAGCCAAATGAGGACAAGTGCTAGAGAACGTTTGGATGGGTCGAAAAGTTTCCGAAATCCAAATGAATTGGGTTCGACCTCAGAGAGTCCACTGTTTGTTTGCACATTCACTTAAGTTAGTTTCCTGGGCTTCTCTTGAACTATCCCCAAGCTACATGCAAAAATAAACACAAAAAAGTAGCAGCTCATGTGGCAAACATCAAATCATAACCAAGGTGGTGAAGTAATACAGAAAAATGCAATGGACTGCAGCACTGGCAATGGCCTTGGCTTCTGAGTTTTTGCAGTACCTGATTGTTTGGCCCCTCTCCAGCTGTCTCCATTTGCATCAGTGCTGTCCTGCTCAGGGGTTAAGGTGCACACCACACACATCATGCAGAGGGACGGAGAAAGTTAGCAGTGGCACACAAAACGTGCAGCAACCTAATCACACTTTTTTTTTCGCATGTGTGTGTCTTTTTGCTCTTGATGTACTACAAGGACCCTCTTGAAATTGAGATGAGATCTTTAAGCAATAACCAAGCCACAAACTACAAAACTGGTGTTAATCAGTGCTGTCCTGCTCAGGGGTTAAGGTGCACACCACACACATCATGCAGAGGGACGGAGAAAGTTAGCAGTGGCACACAAAACGTGCAGCAACCTAATCACACTTTTTTTTGCATGTGTGTGTCTTTTTGCTGTTGCTGTACTACAAGGACCCTCTTGAAATTGAGATGAGATCTTTAAGCAATAACCAAGCCACAAACTACAAAACTGGTGTTAATAATGAACATACCATCTACTTCTGGTTTAATTGAATGATGTCGGCACAGCAGGCATTTTAGTACCCGGTAATTAGTTCAAGCATGTACACAACACGTCAACATGTCTAATTAGCTCTCTGCTGATTATTTTCTCCTTAATAATTACGAAAATTGTTTGTTTTCCTCGAATTTGGATATGACTGATGTCTAACTACCTTCGTAAACCCACCAACCCATCTACCCATATATCTATCCATCTATCTAGGCTGAGCGATAAGGCCGAAAAGTAAAACTCCAGTTTCTCTTTTTTTTTTTTTTACCGGTACTGATTTCAATTATTTTCCTCCTTAAAGTAATAGCGACTGTCCGTGTTTTTTGTTATGTGTTGTGTTTATTATTTTACTTTATGTTAACTGTTTTGTTAAGCGCTTTGTTACAGTTGCAGCTGTTGTGAAAGCGCTATATATATCAGGATGTATTTATTGTATTGTAATAGCAAATGACAAAGATATAATTCAAAGCAATTTTTTCTTTTGTTTTTTTCTGCTTCTGGGATTTCCTTTAATTGGCCTGAGACTAAAGCTTTTAGGTGTTTTTTTCTTCTTCTCAGCATTAACTTAAGCAGAAAAAAAATTTCTTTACAGATAATGTAAATAAATGTAGTAACTGTAAGCACTGTAATATTGGCACTTCTTTACACTGACTGTAAATATCAGTATATGGAAATAAAATGCTTTGATAAAAAGTGTAAACTTGAGCCGTAATAATTTAACATTTAAAAAAAAATAATAATACATTTTAACATCATAAATAAGATATCAAACTCAGTTGCTTGGCACGTCCATGCCTGTTCTCATAAATCGTGGCCTCTTGTATCTCAGGTGATGGCATGACATGATCATGTGACGGCATGAATAAAGTTTATGCGGCCCATGCAATTGTCATTCTAACAGAGGGTGTAGGGTGTTGTGGGGGGGCTCAAAGAAAAATGAAACAAAAACAAGCCAATGGTAGCAGAGACCAAGCATACCGCTTTCATGTATGGACCGCTGAAGCGCTTCCGCGAGCTCCCTATCCGCTATCTCTTCGGGGCGGTTTTCCTCACGTCCTTCAGGCCCGTAGGCCAGCCGGGCGCATTCAGGCAACTCGGCCTCGGACAAGAAGCGAGTCTCGGTGCCCGTTGTGCCGATGAGAAGCACGCTTTTCTTCAGGTCGATTGAGCACTACGAGACAATAAGGCCAAGTTGGCTTCAGGGTTTGATTTTGCATCCTAAAATCGGGGATCGAGAGAGGCGAAGACAGGTGGTTCGTACCTGGTGTCTCTTGAGCATGTCCAGGCCGAGCAGCATGTCCATCGGCTGATCCTCCAAAATGGAGAAAGAACAGGGAAGAAAGTCCCCTTCAATCTGGACCTGAGCTGCATGGACACAAGCGACACATCATGCATGTCAGCACGTGACACAGTACTGTACCGTCTTTCTCATCGAAGGACTCCACCCAAAAACACTCACCCAAATGAACCCTGCCGATGATCTTTTGCGTGCCCACTCCCTTGGCGATGCCTGCCCAGCGGCGATCTACTAATCGCATGATGTTGCAGCGGTCCGCACAGGCTTGGCTCATGATGGTCATTTGGGCGCCTGAGAGCAAAACAAAAGACTCCTTGTTGAAAATACAAAGACACATAAGATGAATTCTAATTGTACACTACAGGGTAGGGCTCAATGATTTCAGGAAAAAATGGATTGGCGATTTTTGGGACAGATATTGCGTTGCAATTAACAATTTTCTTCAAAATGCAAGGACACCTGAGAGGCTGTTAGTGGAAGGCAGTCCTTTTTCAAGGTTTTAAAATGGTTCAATAAGGCAAGACCTACTGCTTGTCGTCACGCGTGCATGGAAATAAAGTTTTGTAATTAAGTTTTTAAGTTTAGGTTTAACAGTGTATGTGAAAATATTTTTTTAACCAAAAATGTTTTACATTAACATTAATGTACATGTTCTTTGCTCATAAACGTAAGATTATATGTAAATATTTTTTTCAACATTTCTGTCAGAGACTTAACTGCTTCAAACGGAAATGGAGGGTTTCGTGATGTGGCCTGAAATTCATATCATGGTATGAATTGGAATTTCTTTACAGTAATGTTGACTGTAAAAGTGTAAAAAATATTTATTTTTGGATGGGTAATTCTAATGTGAAAGGTTTTCATGTCAACATGTCTTTTTCTTTTTATGTCATTAAATCAATCCGACAACTAAAGAACATAGTCCCTTGTCAAAGCTAAAATTATTAAAGAAAAGATTTAGAATCATTTTGAGACTGTTATTGTTTCGATCTCAAACTCGGTCCAATAGGTTACTTTGTGGTGCAAATAATTTGCTTGTAAATGACTGAGCAATTCAGGAAAGCTCGTTTTTATACCCACTCATGGCAAAAAATACATGAAATCTTTTAGACTTTGACCAAACAAGAATTACCTGAGTCCACAAAAGCTTTCACAGGGTGCCCGTTGACTCTGCAGTTAATGTAGAGCATAACAACCTGCCCGAAGCTTTCTGGGGCCTCCTCCATTGCAATCGTCATATTTTCTTCAACATTGTGCTGCCTGGAACGTGTTGAGCAAAAATAAAAACAGACTATAACCTGCTTCTGCCCATTCGTATTTGTTTTCTTGACATTGACAATGGGTAAATAAAAACTCGAGTAAACCTGATATCCTCTTCGATCTTTGCCTGCGCTTCCAAATCGAAAGGATCGGCAGTCAGCAGTCGGATTCGCTCTTGCTCCCGCTTGGCTCGATCCTGCTGTTGCTCCAGCAGCACTTTGGTGAAACGCTCTGGAAACAGAACATTTACACCAACATCAGCTGATGCCATACACAGTAGAACACAGCAGGTAGTCATGCAGTAAGGCAGGGGCCGATATTACAGTCTGACAGGTTGAGAACCGTGAGCAAAAATATCACAGTATCACGGTTTTAAAATGACAGCTCTTAATGTCCTTTTTTGAAATATTAAGGAAAATAAAAACACATTCTTTTCCCATTGAACACAATCAATTTGATTTTTAAACAATAATACAATATTAAGAAATGTTTACTATAGTAAACTAAACCAAAACAATAAATATGAACATTGTTTTTCTCTTAATTCTTCTTAGTAAGCCACAATGGCCCATGACTGGTGAATGTGATGGTGGTATATTGTGGTATGTTTAGTTTAGAACAGACCTGTGAGGCTACTCACACTGGATACACCGTGTTCCAAGTGAGAGCGCCGAGAGTGCGGTCTGGCACTCCTTTTTGGAGCACTCTGAATAACCAAACTGCACATCTGAGCAACGCTCTGAGTTTCTGAACGACTGGAGTGAATTCTATCATATTTAACATCGAGTCATAAATGTGATAACGGCCCGGAAAGTAGTAATAGGTATTTTTTTTTTTTTTACAAGCCTGAAATAAAATAATGTGTACACCATTTGCTTTTGAGCAGCTAAGAGAAGTTTTCGTTATGTGGCTTTGTCCCTAATTGCTGAAAACAGTTAGGGCTCACTGTATGTCATAACAGCAGTTTTATCTACCGAGATCTCCGCTCAGCAAAGCCTCAGCAAGCGGTGGGTTTCGCTCTTTCAGGAGGGAGAGTTCATGTGGATTGGACAGGAGCATCTGCTGGAGTAAGGCGGGGTCGTCAAGCCCCTGAGAAGAGGAGCCGCGAAAGGCCGGGAGGTTAAGGTTCACACTGGATACACCGTGTTCCAAGTGAGAGCGCCGAGAGTGCGGTCTGGCACTCCTTTTTGGAGCACTCTGAATAACCAAACTGCACATCTGAGCAACGCTCTGAGTTTCTGAACGACTGGAGTGAATTCTATCATATTTAACATCGAGTCATAAATGTGATAACGGCCCGGAAAGTAGTAATAGGTATTTTTTTTTTTTTACAAGCCTGAAATAAAATAATGTGTACACCATTTGCTTTTGAGCAGCTAAGAGAAGTTTTCGTTATGTGGCTTTGTCCCTAATTGCTGAAAACAGTTAGGGCTCACTGTATGTCATAACAGCAGTTTTATCTACCGAGATCTCCGCTCAGCAAAGCCTCAGCAAGCGGTGGGTTTCGCTCTTTCAGGAGGGAGAGTTCATGTGGATTGGACAGGAGCATCTGCTGGAGTAAGGCGGGGTCGTCAAGCCCCTGAGAAGAGGAGCCGCGAAAGGCCGGGAGGTTAAGGTTGGAGGGTTGCGCACTGCGCTGTGGCTGTTGCTGAGGTGGTGGGAGTTGCTGCTGCTGTGGCTGGTGTTGTTGTTGTTGTTGCTGCTGCTGCTGCGGCGGTGCGACCTGTTGTTGCCGCGGCCTGATGATACTATGAGAAGCGTTTGAAGTCGAGGCGCCAGGGACTGCGATGGAACGAAAGTCGATATGGGGCAGACCTACAAGGAGAAGAGGAGGAAAGGTTAGTAGGTTAATGAGATTTGACAACAACAAAGGCTTGATTACCAAAAAGATAACAAGAATAAAAACATAAGGGGTCCTCGGTTTTTATTCCAGCCACAGCGGCATTACCCAAATTTGTACGCACGTAATTGGGAATGCCCCATAGTCTGCTGAACTACACTAATGCAAAGTAAATTTTTTGGCAAGGATGTGAGTTAAACCATTCCACACGGCAACTTGCTCGGTAAGAAAGGGTCGCACAGCAGCACGGACTAACGACGGCAGTCTGGTTGCCAGTCTGCTCATATTTGGAAGCATTGACGTAGCAGCACCAGGAAGTAAAAAGAGAGACTTTTACCTGTGGTTTAGGTGGGAAGTTGACCAGACCTCGACACAATGAGCAAAAGCAAGGCTCATTTTAAGGCGAAGGATATGACACAAAAAAACGAATGGCTTGGCGGAAACTTGGAAAGGGTGATCTCGTGCATGAGCAAAAATCCCACCAAGACGACATTGAGGTATATTTCAGGCTAAGCAGGGAGTAGTGTCTTCTTAGACACGTCAGTCTAAAAGCTTGGGACACTGAGACACCACATTTATGAAGCAATCCTCATGTCGATACACGTAAAATCGTCAGTCAAAATAGCACTAAATCACTCCATCAGCTCCTCTCCTATTGGAGGTGCTTTAGGTTCAGTATAAATTAACATATTCACATTCATTCTCGCTTTGATTTGCTCTTGTGGTCTGTCTCCACCTTTTCAGTCATGAATTACATGACATGTACTCACCTGGGAAGGCAGGCTGAGTGGGTGGTGGCCTTCTGTCGGCTTGCCTGAGGACCACCACGTCTCCATCCTTCACACCGTAGGTCCCCAAGGCACGAGTTGGGTCTTTTAGGGGCTGCTCTACATAGGAGATCTTAAAAGAGAAGAAGAAAAAGATTGTAAACACACAGCAACCAACCACAACAGTACAACCACCTTTAACATCTACTAAGTTGTATGGAAAACGTTTATTATTGTGGTTGTGCAGGGGCTCATAGTGTGGAACTGCACTGCGCCATACACAGACTCGCTCTTGGAGCTAAAAGAGGCAACCGCAATATTAGAAGCAGCTCTTGGTATGATGCAATCCAATTCTACATGGCTCTAGTCTAAACCATTGTGCAACCACAATAATCAACTGAGATGGCGCAACTTGAGACAACCGGGCGTCCTCAGTTTTCGACGGTACCGACATATGCTTCAAATCATTTCGAGTGCAACTGTATATAGGGCTTGCAATAGTAGGAGAACACAGTTCAATGTTTACAGATTGCTACAAAGAAATGTATCTTTTTGCTATTTTTTTTTAATAACACACACACACACAGTATACAGGGCATACAAAGGAGAAATAATAGATTCCGTACATATATGGTTCTAACCTTTATTTATTTATATTTCATATTTTATATTAACACTGAAAACAGTGTTAATATAAATTATGAAATGTAAATAAATAAAGATTCATTTGAATGAAGAGCAACAAGTTGAAATCATTCTGATAGCCGGTTCAGCAAGGAGTTGTATAGTTTGTCAAGAAACGTACATTTTTTCCTATGAATGGATACTTATCGGGGACACACACGCAAATGTACACACACAAAACCGAGACGCTCATGAGGATAAGCGGTTTCAGATGATGGATGGGTGGACGAAAATGTTTGAAAATGCCTTACTTTGATTAAACAAAGATAAGCAGTGTGCTTTCATGAAACGGTACAGAAACCAGAGAATATTCACTGTAGAGAGGCTGAAATCACAGGATTTTGATAATGGCTGGAAATGATTCATTGAATTATCAAAATAGTTGACAATTAATCGAGTGTGACTCCTATTGGGCAATATCTGAATTTGCACATTCAAATTTAATAGTTTGTCTATTTGGTGACCATGCTCTGGTTTACAGGCTTAAAAGTTATTTACCAGGTACTAACCACTGGAATAGGATAGTTTGTTTCTCTCCACGAATACTTTCTATTAAAGTAATTATATGGAGCACGTTTACTTTAACTTGAGCAATATTTTATTTTAAAGTAACAGTACTCCCCCACCCCCCAAACGTTTCCTTCATATCCCTTTATTTTAATGGCAAACATTAAACCTCGGACCCACAAATAGGCCACCTGTTTATAACGCCGTATCGTGATTGTGTTGTTAAACCGTTAGCCTTCACCAGCAGATCTGCGCTAGTCTGACGTGAATCCCACGAAAAATCGTTTAAACGACGTGATTTTTCCCCCACATATATGAATGACACCCAATTGAGTACGTATTGTTACTAACGCTTCATAAAAAACGGCCTATAGTTGGCGAATTTCAACGCTGCCTGGTTCCCAAAACGCAAGGAAAAGTATGATTCATGCTAGCAGAGCCGGTAGGGCTAACTAGCCAAATGCTATGCTAGCTCGGCGTCTGGAGCTAAACAGACCGTCGCCGCCGGGTGTCCTTACCTGAATTTCCCCCGCCGGGATTCCCGACTCGAGTTCACAAAGTGCCACAAAGTCTCTCAGTTCCAGCTCCGGGGACACATCGAGGGCGAATGTGGTTTCTGGGCGATCCCTCGGCGCGCAGAAAACGGTGACCAGCATCGCTTAATTTTGGAAGCAGAATCGGTTGGCAAACCGCTGCAACATAAAGGCACTCACTGCATTTCCTTTACTCCCACATGCGAACGCCGCATGCTCATACTGGATTTGGGTCACTATCATGCGTATTTCAAGCCGCGAGGCGGTCAAATGAAATGCGTGGAGCTAAAATAAAGATGATGAGTGTTGTCCACTTACTCAAAGGCGTGTGATGTGACAGCAAATCATTCAAAAACTCCAACATCAAGAAATGTTCTAATATTCGCCCAGCGATGCCGTACCTCGCCCAGTTGGTTTTTACGACATGTCGTATGTCGAGGTCTGGAGTCGTAACCATTTCCAAGCTCCATTCCTACCGATGACAGAACTACAGTATATTATCATGTCATAATACAATACAACACAATACATGCTGATTTATATAGCGCTTTCACAACAGCGGCAGTTGTAACAAAGCGCTTAACAAAACAGTTAACATAAAGTAAAATAATAAACACAACACATAACATAAAACACGGACAGTTGTGCAGTCCTAACCACTTTTCCGGGACATGCTTTATAAGATGAAAATAGTAAATTTACATGACGTATAGGAAATATGTTCAAGGAATAACATGCACATTATTATTTTTCACATATTTGATCTCAGAAAGAATTTAAACGTATTTTGTTTTTATTATTCATTATTGACGCACAGAAGTTTGACTAACTCGAAATGTTACACGCTTGAAGAAATGAAGCAGACTGATGAGCATCAATTTTAATCTTACAATGGAATGCCAAATACCAACAAACAACTAAGAAATACCAACAAACAACTAAGAGTGAAACTGACAAGAGCACCTCAGTATACAATAAAGAGAATGACAATGTAAAATATTTACTGGTATATAATACATATATTTAATAAACAGCTCAGATAAACTGATAACAACTTTTGATGACTTATGGCGGCAAATGAAATGGCTTTAGAGGGGAAAACTGAAGTATGGCCTGGATGAGACCGCATGTATCTTCACATGATCAGCAAATGTGTCTTGCATCATTTAGGTGCCTGATTAGTTCATGAAAAAGCATTTGATTTTCATTCATAAAAATGTATTCACACCATCCCATGATATCATTAGCTAATTGATTTATTGTTAATACAATCAAGGATAGGAGTAAAAGCTTTAAGTCACTTATGGGTATTGTCATGTTTTTGCTCTGTCTGTTTTTTTTTGTTTGTTTGTTTGTTTGTTTGTTTGTTTTCAGCACCAACTGGAGTGGAGCTTGTGCCTCTTCAGTAGGTGCACCTGTGTCTTGTTACAATAAGGCCTGCCATGTATTTAAGGTCTGCCAAGCTGCCTAGTCTCTTGTCGGATTATTGACCTTGTTCTCTGTTTATGCTCAAGTGAAATGTTCTCGACCTCTTGCCTACGTTCATATAGTCACTCTTGTTGTTTGATTCTTGTTTAGTAAATATTTTGAGTATGTGCGCGCGTGTGTGTGTGTGTGTGTGTGTGTGTGTGTGTGTGTGTGTGTGTGCGTGTGTGTGCGTGCGTGTGCGCGCGTGCGTGCGTGCGTGTGTGTGTGTGTGTGTGTGTGTGTGTGTGTGTGTGTGTGTGTGTGTGTGTGTGTTAAGGTATGTATTTGTATGTACATGTACTGTATATATATGAACACACCAATAAACATGCAGCAGCAGGCTATCGAGGAAGGTCATTAAAAAAATAACACGTTTATTTATTAGGAAAAAAAGTTGTTGTTTTTTTTTAAGTCATGCAATCTGTTTTTGTGCTAAAACCAGGTCGTGACGGCAGTTCATATTCCAAATAGCCATAATTTCTTGTCAGTGTTCTCAGATCTAGCCTGAAGCACGTTTGTGGCGGCAATCTTGCAAAGATTAATCAAGAGTGCGTGGTGGTTTCCATCGGCCCACATGCAAAGTACCGTGTCATCTTCTTACCGGCAGAAATGGTAGCATAATTTCCGTTCCTTTGCTGCAGATAGATGAAGATGAAAAACAGACAAAGGTTAAAACATGATTAAATTTCTCAAATGAATGTATGTATATGTTTTTTCCAATCTGAGTTGGTGCCTTTACAGATGTGAAATATGAATTACTATTTTGTTTTTTCGAGGTTCATTTATTGTATTGCTATCATTTATTATTTGTAAAATATATGTGATAAAATAATCAAACAAACAAACAAATTGGTATTAATTGTTTTAATTTAATTAAACTCAATCAATCACTTCACCCATGTCGTTAATTGTGTCCATCTTTTTCATTCAAAAACGAATGGCATGAATTGTATTAAAATCATACACAAGTCAAAAATATGTATATTTTTGATATTAATCAAGTTTAATTCATAGAACTTAATTTCTGTTTATCTCTCATAACCCACATAACGCAATGCGTCGGTGTCATACAGGAAGTGATATTCATGAAGTGAGAGACATGTGGCTCACATAAGTAATTCATAACGGTGATTCCCTCTCACGGAGCTTATTTCTTTGTGATATCAAGCAAATACAAAACATGGTTCTTCTCAGAGTGCTCCTCCTGAGTCTGACTTTTAACAAATTCCTTGCTGATTCGGATACATTCTCTTGTCCAGAAGGTAAATTTATATTTTAGTCAAGCTTTCTCATGTTACTTTTTGTTACTCATACGAGACATGATGACTGTTGTTTTCTTCTAATCCAAACTGAAGGCAAACTGATTAAAATGCATGGTGGAAGTCAAAAATACTGTGCCGCTTGTCCTGAAGGATACCACCAGCCTACAAAGAATTATTCCAAACAGTGCAAAGCGTGCACAAAGTGTAATGAAGGTATGTCACATTGTGAGTGCTTTCTTGACATGGACTCTCATTGAAATATGCATCCATCCATTTTCTAATCCTTTTATCTTTCATTGAAATATGTGTTTTTCAAATTTCCACCTGAATTGAAGCGAAATAATGTTTTTGTCTCAGAGTCGGGAAGTGAGGTGACAGAGAAATGCACAAAGAAGACGGATACGAAATGTCAGTGCCGTAAAGGATTTGTTCCGGTGGAACCTGATTCTGCTACTTGCGAATGCGGCATTGGATTCGGGCTACACTATGGAGGTAAAGGCGGAAGCAAAGCATGACCAAATGCAACCTTACAGGAGTATTAATGTTGACTGATCTAACAAAAAAAAACACCAAATAAAAAGATCACCAAAATGTCGAAATAATTATGACTTTGTCTCAAATGTACTCACAATTTTAGTTGGTCAGTGAGCCTGTTTTATGGAATGTAAAGCATTTGTTCTATTGCATTTGGCAACAATTAGGGACACAGCTGCCTTGACTGTAGCTGTACCATCTGCAATCAAGTGGAAAAGCATTTAATTGTTCCGCCTGTCACCATACCTCGCTAGCGTGGATACATATCGAAAGATACATTATTTCTTGTAAAGAATTCTGAGTTGGTGAAATTGGATCATTTCCTGAGGGACACCTTGGGCCCTATTTTTGTGCCCAGCGCAAGTCTAGTTCAAGGTGTGGTCTCACTGTGGGGATGGACGGAATTTTCTTTCTTTCAGTACAGTATATTTGCAGATGACCGGAGTTCGAAATGTTTACGCCGTTGTGGGCGTGAACACAGGCGACTTGCTTCCCAGCCAATAGAAGTGGTTCCTCTCATTCCCTTGAAATTCAGAGCAGCAACGCTTAGCTGGAGTCCATGCAGGAGATTTAACGTTTGCAAAGAATGCTGATAAGGAACTTCAAGAAGATTTCCACTTGCAAATGATGTTAAGTTGGTCAGGGTGATCACAGATCACCGCTATGAAGTGGACAATTGGAGACTGCCTTCCACCCCAGTCGTTCCCCTCTGTCTGTGACCCTGCCCAACAGCTATGCCCCGACTAGCGGGGTGAGTTAAAAAATACCCATCCATCTTCTAGTCATGCAGCTGTGGCAGTGTGCTCGATTAAGCACACACTAAATGGCATCAGTTAGTTTAGGAATTAGGATGGCTTCACTGTTATTCCTCATCATCCCTTCATGAGAATGATACTTGTTAGAAGTGTATCTTATTTACCGCCCTTAAGGAGGATGATTACTGACTGACAAGTGACTCCGCAACTTGTATAGCCGCATCAGTAGCCAGCCAAACCTCGTTGCTAAATAGCTGGTGCCGCAGAAGGAGCATTGAGCTAACTGAGCCTCGACCTGGTGTGTTGTTCCATTTGAACGCAAGTGCGTCCAGCCTAGGGAACCATCTTGGTGGTTGATTCTTAGTTTTGCTTATCAATGGTTTTTGATGATCCGCAAAATGCCAATTTTGTCTCACAGCCTGTGATGAGAAACTGCTTATTTCGAGCTTTGCCTTGTAAGAGGTTCCAGACCCCAAATGTTTGAGAACCCCTGACGTATTGTGTCTTTTTTTTCTTCCAGAATGCTCAAAATGTGAGGATGGCTTCTTCAACAGACATCCCAACAGCCCTTGCATTAAATGGAAGGAGTAAGCCGCAGTATTCTTTTGAAAAAAAAAAACCAAATAAATAAAATACAACACCGACATCAAAAGCATTATAATAAATTACCTCTCTTCACCTCTCTTCATCCATATAAGGTGTAAATCCGGCGTGAACACCAGAGGAAGCAGCACCTCTGACGTCATCTGCAACGCCGACTCACACAACTCCCCCACATCAAACCACACCGTTTCTGTCATCACACCGCAGCATGAGTGGGACCAAAGTCATGACAGCACTCAGCATGAGACAACCACCACCATCACCACCACGGCAGTGTATGATGTGCCATCTTGGAACCAAGTGCAGCCGACCCCTCCTTCAAACTCCACCAGCCACCATATTGGTATGCTTTTGGATTTAAGACACTGAGTGACATTTCTTGTCTTGATTGTACATTTCTTCTTCAGGTATTGCCTTTGTCATCCTTGGAATAGTTGCATTGCTTGTTCTCACTGCTGCTGCCTGTAAAGTAGGGATTACTACTTGTGTGAGGAGTCGGATGGCAGTGAAAAGTATGTCATTTATTTTCTTGGACAATACAACGTGCATAATGTGAAAGAAGTCAAATTACAATGCATTGTCTCTCTGGGGTTATTTTGACTGTTAATGGCACTACTTGCAAGCAGTGTTGACCGAGTGACCTTGAAAAATACTAAAAATACAAATACAAAAATTACAATAGTTTTCCACCAAACAAGAATACTTTTCTCGAGTCAATAAAATAATTATAGAATGAAAAAAACCACAACATCATCTATTGCAGTTCTATCTCGCTATTTTGACCCACTTTCTTGTAGAAAAACACAGACAAAGGCAGCCTATAATCAGCAACACCATATTTGTGTTGCTGATTTGTTTTGAAGGGTTGGAACCGTGTGGGGGAGTTCATATTGGCTTTATAGAGGCTTAAATCCCTCCAAAAATAAAATAAAATTAAACAAAATATTTTTGAAATATATTTTTTAAAAAGCAATAAAAAGTAAACGCCTACGTTGCATAAATTCACCTATTGCAGGAGGGTGGGGGGCTTGAAAAGCACAGTATCACCAACAATTTATACACACACACACACACACACACACACACACACACACACACACACACACGCACACGCACACAGACACAGTCATGCTCAGAAAACTATTTCCTTATTCTGGTTATTTCTATCAGGCGATTCGCTGTACCGCAGGCCCGTTGAAGAAATCGGTGATGGCACTGACTGCAACCTGAATTCAAAGAAGCCTTAATCACCTGTACAGTATGACAGCACAAGCTCATATGACCTTCTTTTTTGATATTATGGTGAGAATGACCTGAGATGTCTGCATGTTGTGTCCAACCTCACTCAACTGCTCCTATGTCTATTAAAGTTGCTGCAGTTTCTTCTGTTTTTCTCAAAATTTTTGTTGAGTTTTTTTTTTTTTTTTTTTAATAGATAAGACTGTCATCAATGTATTTTCAGTAACGTGGGCTGGGGGAATTCTCTGAGTGACATCAAATGTGTTTTTTCGGCTTTGCAAAATGTTAACGCTCATGCATGTTTTTTCACTATTACCTCGCGGAGTAAATGTGAGGATTTTATGACGAGCCTGCCTTAACCCTTATCTGTTTTCTAAATGAAAGACTTGAAAATTCAGATCAGATAAACTGCTTCACCATAAAGATGTGCAAAAAGTAAGCATGTGCTGGGTTGGGTTCCTGTGTGGCTGAAGTTGTTGGGCTTCAAAGAAATACTCAGCAGTTTGTGGGCTGCAGCTGTGTCGGGTTAGAATATCACTTCTTTCAAGTACAGAAACTTTGCTGAAACAAAACTGCGTGCCTAATAAACACTAAACACACACTCAAACTGTTTTATTGCTCTACTTTAGTGTGTTGTACTATACTGTACAATACTATACTGTACTATATTATGCTATACTGGAACATACATACCATACTTCTGTGTGCTGTACTATACTATACTATACTATATTATACTATACTATACTAATGCCTGTTAAGGCATACCTGTATTTTGTCACATACCTGTAATTATATTTTGCATGTTTTATTGTCAAATACAGTGTATTATTTTCAAAAGGCTCTGCTTGCTGCTAGACCATAACAGGGTCAAAAAGCACATTTACATCCATATAGGCACTTTCCCCATATGTAATTGCATTTGAAATTGTACAGACTGATCTACTACAAGGTGTTTCTTCACAGAAGTACTGATCGTGGTTTGGAGTTTAGGCTTTTTGTTGATTTAAAAAAAAAATCGATTTCCTTTTCCACTCTGACAACTTGGTCTTAATCTCTTGCCTGAAAGCGGCCAGCTAAAACCCCTCCCACAACCACCATAAAAACTTTACGCATTAGTGAAGCGCTGTCCATAATGGTCTGTCTTCACTGCTCCTTTGCAGCTCTTTATGCTTTGTGCATTTGGATTGTTAAATACACCGCTGGGACAATCTGTTCTGATTCACGGACAACTTTTATGAATGGGAGATGCTGCAAACTGTGCCCTCCAGGTAAGACGTTCTGTAAAAAGAACTTCAAACATTTTCTCCACAGGTGAATTGATGCCTTCAAAATGAACACAAAAGTCTGATTTAATTCATTTCTAATTCAAAGGGCAATATCTGGAGGGCTTCTGCACAAAAACAACAGAAACCGTCTGTCGCCCATGCCCTGACAACTTCTTCTCTCAACAGTATAATGCCTTTAACAAATGTATGCCATGTCAGTCATGCCAAGGTGCCCACAAAGGTAAGAATTTATCCAGAAAATGATGCCAGCCAAGTAGAAGACGATAAACAAAGCAAAATAGAATGATTTGTGAAGAAAACAACAGGACATGGGGACAAGACATCTCACAGGAAGTGGTTGCATTTATTGTCTCTGGACAGAATATGAAGAGAAATGTTCCTCAACCACAAACGCCAAGTGTTTGTGTCACCCTGGTTTCTTGTGTTCGGATGACGCGTGCTCACAGTGTGTGGAAAATATGTGTGATGTTGGCGAGAAGGCGGTGAAGACAGGTAAGACTGATGATTTGTGCTTGAAATGAAAAAGCCCATTTTGAACATTTATTTTGGGGATCGCATTCCGGACACACCTGCAGAACGTGAAAGAATGCAATGTATAGAGACTGGATACAGAAATAAAAAAAATATATATAGTAATACCCCTCCCACATTCATTAAATTATACTTATGCTTATTAAAATGCATTCTTAGCAGCTCTTCTGATTCTCTCTCGACTATTCAATGACATCACAGTGAGGTTCTCCAAATAAGTGTGAAAGTGTGCTTACTGCAAGCTATTTATTCATCACTCCCAGTTGATGTTTAGTGTATAATTGGCAAATGAAACAAAAGACAAATCAAGTCAAATTTATTTATATAGCCCTTCATCACAAAAGGTCTCGAAAGGCTTCACATGTCCACAGTTGACAAATATTAACGATACCCCCTAACACAGGGCTCACCAACCTTTTTGAGAGTGAGAGCTACTTCATGTGTACTGATTATGTGAAGGGCTACCAAATTGATACACGTCTGAAATAACATCTGTACAAATTGCATTTAATAACATTAGAATGTGTTATTTTTAATACTTGATGATTTATTTAAATTTTCAGGGTCTGATCATCTTAAAGATGTATCACAATACTGCCAGTGTTTGCATTTTTAAATCATAATTTCTACGAGCAAATCACAATCCGAGCACTGGCGGGCTATTGGTGTGGTCCTCACGGGCTACCTAGTGCCCGCGGGCACCACGTTGGTGACCCCTGCCCTAACACAATACTGTGCCATACAATGTTAGATAGAATGAAATGTCCATTTCACAAGATCAAAGCATTTCATATTTAAACACCAAAAATGTTGAATGAAAATCTGATAGCGTAACGCTAACATATAATGCAAAATTATGAGAACTTCCTCGCGTAAATTAGCATTGATATCACTGTAATTTTAAACGTACAAGCAACTGCTACTTTAACATGAACTGAAGCAGCATCTAAAATCGAAATGTTGAACCAAATCATAGAGTACAACATTACTCGCAGACCTTTTTTTTCCCCTCAGGGCCATGGAAACAAATACCGTTAGTGCAATTTAGTAGAGGACCTCTTTATCCTCTTCTTCTTGTTTCTTCTACACTGCATCTCCATTCACTCGAGCGGAATGCTACTCAGCATGTAGCAGCATAATATAGTGAGTGCCATACTGAAGCCACTGAACGTTGAATTTGGACTTGCTTTTATATTTCAGTATCAAAACCCGAAAAATACAACCGCGATGGTACAGAAAGAATGAAAAATGAGCCATGATAAAGTGGGGGTTCACTGAACAACAATCGAATGCGCAAATCTTTGTGATCTGCTGTAGGGCCGAAGCAGCACAAGTGCCAGCCATGCCGTGATGATGAATATTTGGACGTGAAAATGAATATCTGCAGGCCACGACTACAGTAAGAAAAATGACTAGCTAAAACAACATACTGTACATGACCGAATGACAGTAAGAAGTATGTTTCTTGGTCAACAGGTGCAGCAAGGAAGGACTTGTGGTGCAGTTTCCAGGAAACAAAACCCATAATGCAGTTTGCAGGAGACATGGTATGTGAATGCAAAATCAGTCTTGGTCTTCGACAACTTTGGCGTGCGTCATTTGTATGCCAGATTTATGCCTCTTGATTTCTTTTTTCTCAAAGACAAGTCAATACTAACACGACGGACACAAAAGTACTTCACCTCAGGATTGAAAATGTTGTTTCTGAACTTCAGACTATAAATTACTGAGTACTTGTAGCCACTTGTTTTCACGTTTTTTTTCCCCAGCATGGTGAAACTAGCCAGTTTTGAGGGGGCAGTCCTGTCTCATACAAATTAGCGAGCACCCAACCCTGCCCACCTCTGCAGCGAGGTCATTGCAGAGTGCGGCTTTTGTACATACAGTATGATGACCAGAGGCAGGGCTCGGACATTGTGACAAGATGAGCAGAAACTTAGTTTCAGGTTCAGATTTAAACAGAAAAACACGTCCGCATCAAGATGAAGTAAAAGCATCATTTGGATTTTCGCTTGTGGAGGCAGCACTTTATGACTGCATCACACTGGTCATCAGTGTGTGTGGACAGTTTCGCCAAACATTCAAGTATGTGCTGGATAAAAGAAGTTATCAGTAGCTAATACTGACAACTCTTTTAGCAAACGCTAATCTGTGATAACGCTGCAGCTCTGCTTACCTTTTGCCGTTGACATGATTGTGCTTGGGGCGGCACGGTGGTCAACTGGTTAGCACGTCGGCCTCACAGTGCAGCGATCGATTCCGGCTCCAGCCTTCCTGTCTGGAGTTTGCATGTTCTCCTTGTGCCTGCGTGGGTTTTCTCCGGGTACTCAGGTTTCCTCCCACATTCCAGAGACATGTATGGCAGGTTGAATGGGCACTCCAAATTGTCCCTAGGTGTGACTGTGAGCACGGATGTTTGTTTGTCTATGCGTGCCTTGCTATTGCAACCAGTTCAGGGTGTAACCCGCCTACGTGCCGAAGACAGCTGGGATAGGCTCCAGCACGCCCGCGATCCTCGTGAGGCTAATTGGATTACAAAATGGATGGATGACTGTGCTTCCATGTAGCTTCTTGAAATTAGGCAGATCTTTGTCCAACCTAGCTGCTGAGTCATAATTGGGGAAACTCAGTGTGGGGCGGTATTGCATAAATCAGCCACACTTTTATGAATAATTTGGCAAAATTGTTACGTACGCGATATCCTGCTGCAGTGCATTGTGATTAGTATCAGTCTCACATTCTGTTCAACTTGGTTTTGACTTGGTCTCACTTCATGATAACAACTCTTACATCTAATACAGTGTTGATGTTTGCAATAATGGGTGTCAAAAATGCATTTTCAGCTGAAGTATGACTTGATTCCTCACCAGAAAGACATGTTTATATGATCCTTGGCATCGGATGTGGTGTGCTGGTTCTTCTTCTTGTGACCTTGTCTCTTGTTACAAAGAAATGTAGAGCGGGTAAGTTTATGGTAATTTGATATGTTAAAATGCTCAACCATCCAATCCAACATATGATTTGTTAGTTCATTTAGAAGCTTGGATTTGGTTCCCACATTAAGTGGGGTACACACACACTTGATATTTAACAATGTAACAGTTTTCAACCAAATTTTTTTTTCATCCCATCTGATTTTTTTGACATTGTACTTTGTAAACGGATTTTAACTTCTTTCCTGATTTTCCTCATTTAACATTTCAAACCATTTTTACCACCTCAACAGTTTTGTCCAATTTTGAGCATCAGTACCAATTTTTATTGTTGAGATAGATTTTTTTTTACACTCATGCCACTTTTCAACATTTTACTTTTGAATATCTTGACTGTTTTTTAACATCTTTGTGGATTTAAAAAAAATGGCCAATTCTTAATTTCTTATCTGATTTTGACATTTGAAACGATTTTTAGCATCTTTACCAATTTTTTTCATTATTTGAATTTTACAGAATGTTTTTTTTTTAAAGCAGAATGTACAAAATGTACAATCATACATAAAGCTAATATTAGGCAACAACGCACAAGCAATCAAGTGAAACAGGCAGCACATAAAACAAAGAACTCATCAAGCTAAACAAAAAGCAGAAAAAGAAAACAAATTCATCATCACAATGATAATAATAAGTAAGTCCAATGAAATATCAGCCATTGATACGATCGACAATTAGTACTCGGTCTAAACACAACTTCACTCAAACTGGCAAGATGTCCCATTTCAAGTGAAATCCAGTCTGAGTGTCCAAAAGCTTACAGGTCCTTCAATGCTGCTAATTTTCAAAGAAGCTAGTGCCACATTGTGATTTGAGGAGTCAAGGGAGATTTCCAACAGGACAAGGTGAGGTTACACCACACAGGCAGAGCAGTCTGTAGCCATACTGCAGTGGGAGAGTAGACGCATAACCTAAAATAAATAACCACTTAGAAAAGGGTGCATTCTGCTTTATTATCAGTTTATCAAACAGATTTTTTTGTGTGCCCGTTGATTTAGTCAAAGGTGAGTTTTATCTCCATTACATTATTATTTGTTACTTTACTTTTTTTGGTGTGTGCAAATCATGCATATATCCAGACTGGGGTTGATTTTGGTGTGGCGCTCAATGATTTGCCCCTCCTGTTTCCCATTTTATGAATTGACTGTTATTGTATAACCTGAGGGTGGCCCGGTAGTCCAGTGGTTACGTACGTTGACTTCACAGTGCAGAGGTACTGTGTTCAATTCCAGCTCCGGCCTTCCTGTGTGGAGTTTGCATGTTCTCCCCGTGCTTGTGTTGGTTTTCTACGGGTCCCCCGGTTTCCTCCCACATTCCAAAAACATGCATGGCAGGCTGACTGAACACTCCAAATTGTCCCTAGGTGTGAGTATGAGTGTGAGCGCGAATGGTTGTTCGTTTCTGTGTGCCCTGCGATTGGCTGGCAACCGGTTCAAAGTGTCCCTCGCCTATTGCTCGAAGACAGCTGGGATCGGCTCCAGCACCCCTGCGACCCTAGTGAGGGTAAAGCAGTTTGGAAGATGACTGAATGAATGAATATATAACCTAAAAAATGATACATGCCTTACATTCACATACGTAATTTGGTCACTTTGATTGTCATGAAATAATGCATTAAGTCTTTGGAACTTAACTGTAATCAAACTGCTCTATAAGCTATACTAACACGTTAGATTACTCGTTCCAAAAATTTCTGCCAAAACTGAGTAACACGCTACTTATTAACGAGTTACTGGCATCACTGGTTGCAAGACAGCCTAATAATTTGTGTCCCAAAGTCCACAAAACTGTTTTCTTAGCAACTTGGAAGAGAAGGGCTCAGTGTCAAAGTGGAAAAAGGAGAGGGACAGCAGAAACAGACTTTATATTATTAACCCCAGCAATGTTACAGGTGCTTCTAAGCCAAACAAAAATTACATTCATGCTCAGAACACGATTTCCTTATTCTGGTTGTTTCTATCAGGCGATTCGCTGTCCCGCAGGCCCGTTGAAGAAATCGGTGATGGCACTGACTGCAACCTGAATTCAAAGGCGCCTTAATCACCTGTACAGTATCACGGCACATGTTCATATGACCTTCTTTTTTGATATTATGGTGAGAATGACCTGAGATGTCTGCATGTTGTGTCCAACCTCACTCAACTGTTACTGGATGCATATTAAAGTTGCTGCAGTTTCTTCTACTAGTCTCAAAATTTTTGTTGAGTCTTTTTAAAAAAATAGATAACGGTGTCATTAATGTGTTTTCAGCAACGTGTGGGCTCGGGGAATTCTCTGAGTGACATCAAATGTGGTTTTTCCGCTTTGCAAAATGTTAATACTCATGCATGTTTTTTCACTGTAACCTCGCTCCGTAAATGTGAGGAGTTTATGACGAGCCTGCCTTAACCCTTATCTGTTCTCTAAATGAAAGACTTGGAAATTCAAATGTTGCATACATGATTAGGAATGAGCGTGGGATTTTCAGTGTCTGCCTTTTATGTTGAATGGAAAATATCTAACAGTACATGCATGTTTTGGACATACAACTATCGGACATAAAATGGAGAGCCAATTATCAGAGTCCAGTGTTTTATAAATAACTGGAAAAGTTAGTAAGTGAAATTTGTTCTGCACCTGACACACGACACTATAAATTCAATTCAAACAATGCAAAAAAAATGTTTCTTAAATAAACTGCCTCACCATAAAGATGTGTAAAAAGTAAGCCTGTGCGGGGATTCTTTTTGTGGGTGAGTTCGTTGGGCTTCAAAGAAATCTTCAGCAGTTAGTGGGCTGCAGCTGTGTCGGGTTAGAATGTCGCTTCTTTCGTGTACAGTAACTTTGCTGGAACAAAAATACGTCCTGAACAAACAAACAAAAAAAGTACACATAAGTGGAGTGTTGTGTGTAATGGTCTGTCCTCACCCCTCCTTTTCAGCTCTTTATGCTTTGTGCATTTCAATTCGATTAAAAAAAAAAAATTTCCTTTTCCAGTCTGACGACTTGGTCTTAATCTCTTGTCATATAGCGGGCAGCTAAGACCCCTCCCACAGCCACCATAAAAACTTGACGCATAAGTGGACCGCTGTCCATAATAGTCTGTCTTCACTGCTCCGTAGCAGCTCGTTATGCTTTGTGCATTTGGATTGTTAAATACGCTGCAGGCACAATCTTTTCTGATTCACAGACAACTTTTATGAATGGGAGATGCTGCAAACTGTGCCCCCCAGGTAAGATGTTCTGTAAAAAGAACTTGAAACATTTTCTTCACAGCTGAATCGATGCCTTCAAAATGAACACAAAAGTCTGATTTCATCCATTTCTAATTCAAAGGGCAATATCTGGAGGGCTTCTGCACAGAAACAACAGAAACCGTCTGTCACCCATGCCCTGACAACTTCTTTAACCTTTAACAAATGTATGCCATGGCAGTCGTGCCAAGGTGCTCACAAGAGGTAAGAATTTATCGAGTGATACCAACCAGGTAGAAGACAATCATCAAAACACCATACAATATGGAATTTATGAAGAAAACAACAGCACATGGGGACAAGACAGAGCTCAACGAAAGTGGTTGGATTGTTTTGACTTTCGACAAAATACAAAGAGAAATGTTCCCCAACCACACACTCGAAGTGTTTGTGTCACCCTGATTTCCTGTGTTGAGACGATGCATGCTCGGCATGTGTGGAAAACAAATAACACTGACGTTCTGAGCTTAAAATAAAAGAAATGTCCATTGTATGGCCCATTTTGAAATGGTAAATACAGTGAATCCCCTTTCATCTCAAGGATTTATTCCAGACCCACCTGCGATAGATCAAAGATGATATTAAGAGTCTTTATAAAAAAATATGCATTTCTTAACATACTTTTAGCCTTCCCACATGCTCTAATCACATTCAAACTTATTAAAACATATTTTAAAGCATTGTTACAATACAGACTGAATTCTGCTGAATTCTTCATTTCATCACCAATGGGAAGGTTCAGATTCACTCATCGTCACCTCGCCTCCTCTACGAGCAGGAGAGGAGGGGAGAGGAGACAGGGGAAGAGGGAGTAAAACAGGCCTACATGCAGTTTAACTAGATGCAAAAATATAAAAATACTGTCTGTCTTAAATTGAGATTCAAACATTTCTACTGATACAGTGGCTCTAATTTCCATAGACAGAGTGTTTCAGAGCACTGGAGTTGGAATAGAGAATGCTTGAGAACCTGTGGACTTAAAGGGTCTCTTTAAAGTGAGCCACAACCACCCCTGGCCACTTCTACCGTGGGGTCAATTCAGAGTTAGGATTTTGTTTCTATGACAACTGGGGGCAGAGGGGAGGTAGAGTGGGAAACTAAGGCATTGCAATGGGATGAGCAGCAACTTGAATTTTGGAATTTGACATGATTAGTGCTTCCATGTAGCTCCTTGAAATTAACAGATCTTTGCCCAGTCCAGCTGCCAAGTCATAGGCGAAGAAACTTTGTGTTGCGGGGTTTGTGTAATGTCGATCAGAAATACTTCTATGTCATAATTCAGCAAAATTGTGACAATATGTGGCCTTCCATTGCAGTGCACGGGAAAACAGATTCATTCACGATTACACACATTACTGTAACTTGTAAATGGTTACAATATTTCAGCAGCAATAATGCAGTATTTGGGTTGTACCTAGAGTTACCTGAAAATTTAAATATTGGAATAACATACATGAAAAGTAGAACAAAACTTGCCTCTGCAGTAGTTACAAATTTGAAACATTAATAGACTGTAGACCAAGACTGAGGCCAAACTAAAACGACAATTACAAATTAAATAGAAAAAAGGGAAATGGAGCGGCCCGGTGGTCGACTGATTAGCACGTCGACCTCAAAGAGAGGTGCAGCGTTGAATTCCGGCTCCGGCTTTCCTGTGTGGAGTTTGCATGTTCTCCTCGTGCCTGCGCGGGCTTTCTCTGGGTACTCTGGTTTCCTCCCACATTCCAAAAACAAGCAGGACAGGTTAATGGAACACTCTAAATTGTCCCTCAGTGTGAGTGTGAGTGAAGATGGTTGTTTGTCTATGTGTGCCCTGCGATTGGCTGGCAACCAGTTCAGGGTGTCCCCTGCCTACTGCCCGAAGACATCTGGGATAGGCTCCAGCACACCTTACGACTCTTGTCAAGATAAGCGGATCAGAAAATGGATGGACGGATGGAAAAGGAAGTTAAAGATACTTTCTTTGATAAAAATGCTACTTTTTCTGAAAATGCATATATTTATTCACATTTTTGTAATGTTAAACGTGATGTAGTGTAGTAACGGGTGAATTATTTTATTATTATTATTATTATTGTTATTATTATTTTTATTTATTTCTTTATTTATTTTTTAATTTATTTATTGTTTTGCTGTGGTAAATTGTTTGAAAGGCGGCTGCAGTGAGCCTGGCCCTGGTGCTTCCTTCCTCCTCCTGCAGCGGCGCTGGCTCACCCCCTGACTGTGCCCCAGACGGATGATCACATGACGGTCTGGCTGCCTCCCATTTCCCCGCCCTTCTTCCACTCCTGAGCTGGAAAAGCCCAACCAAACATCTAACAGGGAGGGAAGAGGAGAATCACTACAGACTTCCCAAGATGCTGGCGTTAATAAACCGGCTTCTAGACTGGTTCAAGTCCCTCTTTTGGAAGGAGGAGATGGAGCTGACCCTGGTGGGCCTCCAGTATTCGGGAAAAACGACGTTCGTCAACGTAATCGCCGTAAGTCTCCACCTGCGAGCTACGGCTAACTAGCCTAATGCTAATAGCATTAACGCTAATAATGGGAGAACGATGACTCGGAAGAAATCGTCGTTGTAATCTTCGACTCCGCGGGTTAAATATCACATAATATTACCCCGTTGCGGTACTACCATCATTAAAAATTAAATTATATGCAAAGAAAAACGTCTCATTGCTTGCTAGGAGTTGAATGAGTTAGGCTGGCTAGCAGCATAAAGCTGTTTGGCTTTGAGATGACTATGGTGCTATAAAAATTATAAAACGACAAATTTTCATTAAAAAAACAATACAGTATATTCTGCACTACATGGTGGGTACATTAAAAGCAGTACATATATTTTAATACAAGTAGTACATTTTCCAGATTAAAATAATTATATTACGAGATTAAAGTTATGTTTTCAATTAACAATTTGCATATTTTTGAGTCATTGTTGATATTTGAAGTCGTAATTTTATGAGAAAATCAATTCACAAGGAATCGTTCTCTAATTTTATATTTTCCAGATTGTTGTCTAACGAGAATAGTTATGTCTTCTTAAAAACAAATATATTTTTTTTCAAAGCCATAATGTTATGAGATGTAAATTTAATATTTTCGTTGTTTGGTTAAAAAAATATTTTTCAGATTAATTTGTAATGTTTGGACATTAACTGTATATTGTTGAGGGAAATGCATAGCTTTGAGTAATGTTTTTTTTTTTTTTAATTATCCACGTTTTTTTTTAGAAAAAATATTTTTATTATTTGAATGTGGAATTTTACTAGAATAAAGTTAGTTTCTCACATTTGTTAAAGTCGTAATTTGAGAAAAAAGTCCTTTAAATTCAAGATTAGTTGTATTTTTGTGAATGTCTAGTATATTTTTGCTTAAGTGTCATATTTTAAGAGTAGTAAATTTCAAGATTTGTAATGAGAATAGTTGCATATTTTTTCACATTTTTTTGAAATCCTGCTTCATTTTTTTAGATTGTAGTCATATTACAATAAGAAACATTTATATTATTGAGTGGCCCTGTATTTTGTTTAATTTTAAGATAAAAAAATATGGTTTCAAAAGTAAAGTCAGCATTATACAAGAATAAAGTGATATTTTCAGGAAAATTTTTATTTTTATGAAAAATTCGGATGTTTTTGTGAAAAAAATGTACTTTCATGAAAGTAGCCAATTATTTTCAAGAAAAAATATTTTCAATACACGCATCATAATTTAAGATAAAGAAGTCAACATTTTATACTTTTCAAAGAAAAAAGTCAGAATTTAAGAGAATACTTATGGGAGAAAAGTAATATTTTTAAGAAAATGTATATTTTATTTATATAAGACTTGACAGTTTTACAAGAAAGCGCTGTAATGTTTTTGCAAAAATAATTGTACACTTAAAATGTAGTATGTTAACAAGACCAATAGTTGTAAGTGGCAGGTGAGAAACAATTAATTAATTCATGTATATTTTACATGATGCACGCACAATTTATTGTTGCTGAAGCTGACATGCATCCACTTCCCACTGTTGGAATTTTTGTGATAGCTCAATCATTTTCACAGTCAGGGCCTGTTTTATTGTAATGTAGTGTTAATTTAATTTATTATACTCATTATAATACTGCAAGGGGAAACCCAATTTACCCTCTGCTGTGTGTGTGTGTGTGTGTGTGTGTGTGTGTGTATGTGTGTGTGTGTGTGTGTGTGTGTGTGTGTTTATATATAGTTTTCTTTTAAATAATGATGAGAACCTTTTCGTGCGAGTCATGTGAAATACCTTAACCCTAAAATGGTTGGTTAGATTGGGGTACTGTTCCACCCTTCAAGTGCTTGTGGGACTTCCTCCAGTCACAAGACCGCTGCATTCATTTCCACTTACTTGTGTCAGGTGACCACGTGTGGTAGTCATGTGCTGTTTGTGTGTGGTTGTAATATGTCTGTATGAACACTAGATGTCGTGCTCACGCAGAGCAAAAGAATTGAATGAGCCATTTCTGTGTTCACAACACGAGTGATACACTTAAAACTGTAGCAGTAACAAATTAGAGCTATTTATAAAAGTACTTCCAACACCTAATATAATTTGTTTTCAGTGTAATAGCACAAGTCCCATCGAACATAGATGTTATGATCACTTAATTAATTTGACTCATAGTCAGTAGAGAATTTGTCTCCAATTTATCCATGTCTCCTTTCAGTCAGGCCATTTCAGCGAAGACATGATTCCCACAGTTGGCTTCAATATGAGGAAGGTCACCAAAGGAAATGTCACCATCAAGGTCTGTGTTTCCAGCTTCCTGCTTTTTGCAAATATTAATATTTTGTTGTTTACCAAGAGGATGTCGTATAGAATGGCAAACACATTTTCTCTGCAGATTTGGGACATCGGAGGGCAGCCGCGGTTTCGGAGCATGTGGGAGCGCTACTGTCGGGGTGTCAACGCCATTGTGTAAGTGCAGTACTGTACTTAGGGAGGTCACCCTGTGATTCAGACAGCACCACTTTATGGTGCACTTCTGTTCAAGAGTCTGTTTTGTTTTAGTCGTCAAGGAGACCGATGACCGGTATTTTTAGTAAAAAATTCAACTGTTGCTGTCAAAATTCAAAATAAAACCAAAAAAAAAAAAAAATCCACTTTAAGTCCTGGTTGAAATGCCATGAAGCATGTTTGTTATAATCTAGACAATAGACGGCTTTGTTTTAAAACTCCAACAAAGTGCAGGTATGGCTTAAGTTAAATGGAAACCCGAACAAGTAAATAGCTTCCAAAAGTTTGCTCCTGGAAATAAAGTTATGCCCAATTTCAATATTACCGAAATGTAAACATTTGACTTATTTGTTTTGTTTCACACAAAAAGAAGAAGTGCAAGGAGTTGAGTGTCAGTAGGATCTCTAGAAACTTTAATTGAAAAAAATCAAAAAGTAATGGTTCTGTGAAGGTTTGCTTTGAGGAATCAACCCACAGCCTTTCATAATTTTGCTGCTGTAAATTGTGAATTTCTCCATTGTGAGACAAATAAAGGTATTCTTCTCTGATCTTATAACCTTCATTCAGGTTAGGAGAGGGCTACAGTACTACGTGAGCCATGCCACTCCGACTATGAGTTAGTAAATTGCTGGTGTCAGGCGGAATACTCGTACCCCCAAAAGGAGACCAGGTCTCCCTTTGGAGACGCCAGCGACTTTGTGTAGGAACTTTGTAACTGTCATATCCGTGCAAAAATAAGGAATATTAAGACAATAATAAAACACTCAGTTGTATCTGTAATAATGACAAAAGTGTGATGCAATAATGAAATTAGAAAAAAAAACGCCTCACCGGATGGCTCCAGTTGAACATTCATGGCTTTTTTAAAATGGTGTTCATAATTCACTCCATTAACGGAATCATCTTTTTTGATGATCCTGGCAGACATATTATACTATCTATGGTGGTATATAATTTTTTGTTTGCGTGTAAGGGACCTAAACTTGTCAAGTTAGGTGTTCTGAAACCAGGTGAGGGTTTCAGAAGCTGAAATGAACCGTCCTGTTCCGTGGTGCTCATTTCCAGATACATGGTGGATGCAGCAGATCGAGATAAGGTGGAGGCGTCAAGGAACGAGCTTCATAATCTATTAGACAAACCTCAGTTGCAAGGGATCCCCGTGAGTATTCCTTTTTACACCGGCCCCTCATACTAGACTCTGACGACCTGTTCCACTCAGCGTTGCTTGTCTGTCTCAATAGGTTTTAGTGCTGGGGAACAAAAGAGACTTACCCACAGCTTTGGATGAAAAACAGCTTATTGAGAAAATGTAAGTCCACACTCCAGGGCACAACTGTAGTTTATAAAAAAGGTCTGCCCCAACAAAATCTGGTTTTCTACATTTGTTTTTAAGCAGGATATGTATTTTCGTGTTTTTGTCCCAACGAGTCCTTTTCCTTTTGTAGGAATCTGGCAGCCATTCAAGATAGGGAAATATGCTGCTACTCTGTGTCTTGCAAAGAAAAAGACAACATTGGTGAGTTGAGGAAAAAAAAAAGTCCCATCTTTCAAAATAATGCAATCCTTTAGAATGTTTGTTTTCTGTGTACATTCAGACATCACCCTTCAGTGGCTCATTCAGCACTCAAAGTCCCGGAGGAGCTGAAAACAATGAGGCGGGGAGATGTCGATGCCAGCTGTTTGCCATGTAACCGTCATGCCACGTCGGCTTTGTCCTTAACTCACCAGATGCACTCTTCTGCTTTTTTCTCTTTTTCCATTTGTACCACCACCATCACCCACAAACTTTGGGAATGCACTACCCCAAAATGTAATCCTGGTACCAAATGAATGACATGTAATTGGCATTATTTGTCCTGTAAATTTGTACGATGTGACTTATGATAATGTGTTGGTTTAAATGGTAAAGCAGCCTTTTTTTTTTTTTTTTGCTAATCCCTCCTTGTATATTATTTGTGATAATTATGCAGTCAAGCAGGTCTGTACGAATAGTATCCAGCTTGTATGATTTTTAACAGCAGTTGCGCGTATGAATATGTGATTCTATTTAAAGTCTGAATGATCAAAAACAACGTCTGCTGCAGGGTTGTTTTGTATACTGTAGTCTGCGTTGTAAGCCTCCGAGCAATCGTTTTTGCGCCATGAGAGTGGTGAAATTTAAAGTGCCTTGCGCAACATGGCATGCGAAGTGTGCCAGGGGGGATTAAAGACACAGATCACTTCAGTGTATTAATTAAAGGCCTGCTTTTTAATATATGAACTAAACTCTTGTTTTATTTTCTTGTTAAAGTGTGGTATGGCTAATTTGAGGGCAGGAGAAGTTTGGCCCTTGGCCATGCTCGTTTCTTTAATTTGGCCCACTGAGCATACACATTACCAAGAGCCTTGTCATATTTCTTGTTTTCATTTAGAACCCCCTAAAAGTGGTCCACAAAAAGATATTTTTTATGTTTATCAAATATACCCTATGGTCACTATATTTATTTTGAAGGATAAAAAGGAAAAAAAAGTAATTTTATAAGTGGTTCATTTATTCTATATAAAGGATTGAAACCTTTTTGCATCTGATCAAAAATGGCTGCTTCGAAAATGGACTGTCAGTGTCATGCAGCTTAATATTAAGCAAAATGCTTATTACCCGGAGAACAAATATTTCAGTAAGTACTTTCCCATATAATTTTTTTTTTTTATAGATAGTACAAATAAAAATAATCTGAGTCACAATTACAATGACAAATTAAAATTTGGGGGGGGGAACAAAAGTTGTACAGTAGTGTTATGAGAATAAAGTGGTATCCCCATAAACAAGTTATGTTTACAAGAACAAAGATGTTTATTGTTGAGAATAGTTATTTTTCCGCAAAAGTCGCAATTTTATATTTTAATCAAAGTTTAATGGAAGAAAGTCACATTTTAACCTGTGAGTGAATTTAAAAAAGTATTTTATTCCCAATAATATGCCTTCTATTCTTAAAAAGACACTATTATGCCCAAAAGAACGGGACTGCTCTATATTTGAGAGTCTTTTATTT